TATAATCTATGTATATATGTATATATATATATATATATATATATATAATAAACACTAGCTCAAAACAACTTCTTGAATCATTGATGTAATCATGCATCAATATCTGCTGAGTATTGTCCATGTTTGTGAATAAAACTTTACTCCACCATAGAGGAAGAAGTTAATAAAACTTCACTCCTGAGTAAAACTTCTGTCTTGCTTTTGTTTCTCTAAAAAAGTGCCCTAGCCTCAATTCCAAGTTAAAATAACATGCAACTATAAATCAACCCCTCCTATATCCCAAATGCATTTGAAGTGATTCCTACCACCAACCCAATTATAATATTTACCACAGACAGTGAGGTCTCAGGAAGGTAGAACTATTCTTCCCCAACCATTATTTAATTCAGTAAATTCTCAGGAGGTCAACAAGAAGATGGTGGTTCTAGGCCAGTCCAGAGAAAAAAAGTTAGCAAGATATATCTCAAAAACAAGCCAGGATATTGGCTTCACATTTTAATTCCGCTACTCAGGAGGTGGAAGTAGTAATATCAGAGTTTGAGACCAGCCTTGAAAAAGTTAGCAGAAGACCCTATCTCTCTCTCTCTTCTCTCTCTCTCTCTCTCTCTCTCTCCTTCAATCTCTCTCTCTCTCTCTCTTTTTCTCTCTCTCGTGTGTGTGTGTGTGTGTGTGTGTGTGTGTTACTGGAAACTGAATTCAATTTTCCCAACAACATTTGCTGAAGAGATTATGTTTTCTCCAATGTATGTTTTTGGCTCTGTTCTCAAGAGTCAGATGTTTGTAATCCTTACGGGCTTATATTTAGGTCGTCTGTTCCTTGGTTTACTGGCCTATGTGGTTTTTGCCTTGTATCAATACATTACCATATTTTTAAAATTTTTATTTTATTTTTATAGCTAGGTAGTACAATTCCAACATAATTTTGACAATTAAACACATTTCACATTTTCATAGTAGGTTGAAAATTTCTTTGTAAGCATTCATTCAGCATAAATACTCAAGCCGGATAAAAATATAAAAACTTCAATTTAAGTAAAAGTCATACAAATTTGAGGTGAAACATAAATGAAGAGAATATATTTTCACTGTAAGTTTCCAAAAACTTGAATATAAATATATAGGATGTATGCAGCATAGTTAAAAGCATGACTAATATATAAAACTGTAAAACATTACCAAATTATGGTATTTTGCCAAATATTATCACAATGTTAATAATATTCAAATTAGGAATGTCCTGTAAATCATTAAGAAAAAACACTAATACCTTGTAGAAATATAAATAAATTGTATGGCTAGCAAATTCACAGAAACTAATTGAAAGTATTACTGAAAATTATGTGGTCCTATCCTTTTTTTTCTTCAATGGTCCCAAATTTTCTGGTTGAATCATAAAAGAATCTATATCTCATATAAGCCAATATTGTGATCTATCCTAAAATGAGAGAAAAAATGTTTTCTTGGTGACTAATTCATTTTATTGAATGCAGCATATCAAATGTAGAAGTAAATGAGAAGGCCAAATCTGCAACCTTATTTTTCTGTTGTTTATGCCTCTCCTTCATGTCCTTCCCAAGTTCTGAATCACACCCTTTATTCTATCTGATGACCAAGATCACCAATCGCTAAGAACTTAATACAGATATCTAAAATTCCTTCTGCAATAAATTGCCCACTAGAGCCCAATCTTAGTTGCTTTGACTAATGACCAAGGAAATTATAAGATTGAATACTTTATAGAAATAGTGGCAAAAGCATTAGATTTTGCATTAGGGAACTTTCCACATCTTGATCAGAAATAGTGGACACCACCTTTCATCACATGAGTTTTACAAATTTTACTCAAAATCAGTGTCACATTCAATTACTTCAATGATATGAAAACAGAGTTTTGGCCATTATTCAAATAAAGAGAGATTTACAACACACTCTTAGTGTGAGGTTAAGACCATTTTCTTGTGTGAAGAAATGTAATTCCCTAAGAATCTGCTGTTCTCTGGGTTTGAGTAGCAGTAGCACCTGCTAAGACTTGCACACCAAATTCCTCCCAGATGCCTTACTTTTTGACTTCCCTGTATGTTCTGTCACAGGAAGGGAGTGGAGGAAGAGAGGATGGGAAGGAAGTCAGAGAGGACATAAAAACAATTGAAGGAGGAAATTTCTTTTTGATTTTTAAATAACTTTCATTGTGAATCCAATCACCATAGACATGTGGCTCTTTCTATCAGCTTCTCTTCTTATTCTCTTTAGAATTTGGAACAGAAATCTGGCATGAATCATTTTGGCTTCCAATGTCCCCGTTGAGGCATGCCACTGGAGATTTTAACACTATTAAAGACCGAGTGAACTAAGTATCTTCTGGGGATTGCTCTAAGCTTTCAACGCATGCTTTCAGTATTTGAAAATCCAATATTCTTAAAACACAAAATGAAACTGTATATTTTCTTTATAAAATTCCATATCATACATAGTTCAAGCATTACTAGAAACTAAATGAATAGAAACCAAAAGTACAAGTGAAATAAACAATGAATATGAAACAGCAAAAAAAAAAACCCATGAAAGCATATATACAGCTAGAATTCTCATTCTTATTCATGTACACCCTCTTCATGATTTTTTTCATTAAACAATTACACAAATTCTATTTTGAAAGGAATCATAGTTCCATCATGGACACTGAAATAACTTGTAAATTTTGAATTTCTTGAGACTTGTGATGGCTTTATACTAAACTAAATGGGTGTGCCATTACTCATATCTACTTACAACATTACAAATTTAAGAAAATGAAGAAACAAGTTGCAAGTTGAGAAATATGTTTAATCCTGTACTTTTAAACTGAAAAGGAGCAAACACAAATGAATCAAGTGCATTTACTAATAACTACCTAGCTCTGTAGTGCTACTTCCATTGCAACATTACAGCTTCTCTATTAATACCCCCACCTGTCTCTGCTTTGGAATTCTGTGTTCTGGCAATAAAATATTCCAAACTTTTCCAAGAGCATCTTTCACATCCTTGTTCCTCAGGCTATAGATGAGGGGATTCAGCATGGGAATCACTATGGTGTAGAACACTGTGGCTACTTTGTCAGCATCCCCACCATTGTCTGAACTGGGTGAACAATAAATAAAAATGATTGTTCCATGGAAGACAATGATGACTGTGAAGTGAGAGACACAAGTGGAAAATGCCTTGTGCCTTCCCTCTGTAGAGCGCATCCTCAGGACAGTGATGAGAATAAAGAAGTAAGAAGTGAGAATGATCATATTGGTAAGGGAATCATTGAAAACTGCCACAATGAAGAGCAGCACCTTATTAATAGTGACATCAGAGCAAGCAAGACTTAAGAGAGGGGGAAGATCACAGAAGAAGTGGTTGATCACATTTGACTTGTAGGTTGGTATCTGGAGGGCTAAACACAAGTGAATCAAAGCACATGCAGAAGCACAGAGGTAGCAGCCAGATATTAGCACCACACAGAGCTTCTGAGACATGATGACTGTGTACAGCAGAGGGTTACAGATGGCCACAAAGCGGTCATAGGCCATCACAGCCAGCAGGAAGACATCAGAGATTACACAAGTGCAAAACAGATAAAATTGTACCATGCATTCCAGGAAAGAGATGGCTTTGTTCTTGTTGAGTATGTTAGCCAGCATTTTGGGCACAATGACTGAAGAGTAGCAGAAATCCACAAAGGACAAGTGACTGAGGAAGAAGTACATAGGAGTGTGAAGTTGAGAGCTGACCTGAATCAGTGCAACCATGCCCAGGTTGGTGACGACTGTGACTACATAGATGATAAGGAAGAACAGGGAAAGAATGTCTGTAATGTCAGTGGCATCTGATAATCCAAGGAGAATGAACTCAGTCATGGAAGTGCAGTTTGTCCCATCCATGTGTCCACTCCAAATGTGCTTGGAGAAAATAACTAAGTGTTTTTCTTTATTTTATGATCTGCAATATAATTTTCCCCCTCCTAAAAAAAGATGTTAGAAGCACTATCATAGTTAATCTTTCTGCAAAGAAATAGGAAATAGAAACATGAAATTCAGCATAAACTAAAACATTACATTACAGATATTCAGAAATCACACACAACATTAACATTTGTAAAAATTTAATTCTTTTGATTGGTTTTTCATATTTGATGTTTGTTATAGAAGCAAAAAAGACAAGGTCAAAATACTATTCAACTGGATTTATTGAGCTATGAAATCTAAATTCCTTTTACCTGGAGGAGTCTTCAAGCAATACTCCAAATATTAGGATCTTATGAAGTAATTTTTAAATGTTGGATAACTACCTCTGAGTTTTCCACTGAAATGATAAAAGACATTTAATTTTCTTACCCAAAATTGCTTATATTTATTGACATACTTAAATGATGAAATAGCTTTTATCTTCTACATTAGCATTTTCTCTATGAAATTGTTACAGTGTTCTGGTTAATTAAAGCTTTCAATATCAAACATAGTACAGGCAGTTAGTACTACTGACTACAACCTTCCTGTAAATATGACTTATCAGCCTTAAAAAGATCTATTTGCAAATTAATGCTTTCAATTTATCTGAAGAATTTGCACACCGGAAATTGTCAAGAAAATTGTCTACCAAGAATAACAATGTTATTTATGATACTGTAAATTATAAATAAATTGGAAAACTAAATGTAGTTCAAAATTATGAACAGATATGAGAAAAAATATAAATATACAGAGAAAATATACAGAGTTTAGCAATCTAATTTTGAATAATTTGATAGGAGAAAGAATAGGATACAAAAAATTTTTAAAAATTGCCAGGAGGTGCAGGCAGAATATTATATATATACATATATGCCATTTTATTTTTAAGCTTAAAACATCTATTTACATGAATATTTTTATTCACATAATGTATCCATAAAGTAGCCAGAATTCTTATATAAATATTATGGACTGTCTGTGGGAAGGAGAATGGAATTTTTTAATGAGGGGCACATACTCTCATGCTTTTCCACACGAAAAGGTGCAGGCATGGTGAGAAGCCTCTCATTTGTTCTCGCCCACACCCTTGGAAAAACATCCTTGGCAACAGGGATACCAGTCACGGGTTCCTGCAGTAAGGACAATCTGGTTAGGGATCTTCACAGACAAGTATTTTCCCAGATTATCAACTGATTTCAACTATTTACAGGATATGTACTTTCATAAATTCCACTTTGAGCACTGACAACTGTTCTGATGATGTGGTTTTCATTCTTCACGTGGCTGAAAAAAATGTTATTTGTTTTTCCCTTAGTTCAAGACTGAACATTTCTTTGAAAACTATTTCCTATTACCACATCTAAGATGAAAAGTCAGGATCATTCATAGAGAACTTCTTTATCAGAAGAGAATAAATATGGTCTCAGAGGGACATGTCAATATCCTAAGATGCTTGGTTGTCACCACGGGGAGTAAGCCTTGCTGACATCTAGTGGGGATGCTGCTGAATACTATGATTCACTTCAGGGTTAACTTCCTCTAACTTACAGATCCCAACAAACAAAATAAAACATGAGCTGGATGAAAATGTCATTAGTGCCATAGTTGAGAAATCTGACTTAGAAGCACTTCAAAGTGCTTTGAACAACACCAAAAATTTCCTCTTTTCTATGTTGTAAAAGTGGTTGACATGTCTGTGTTACTCCCTGAACAGTTCTGCAGGCCTCTTAAGGGTACCCTCAGCCTTGAAGTGACTTTCAGGATAATCTCCATGCATGGTGTGTAAGGCTGAATAGATGCAGTTGATGTGACAGGGGAAAGAGGGCAGATAGAAAAACAAATGGCCATCTCCTTTTGTTCACATTGTTTCCCTCACACACTGAAAATTCTTATGACATATGTAGCCCCGCAGATTAAATTGCCCCTAGTTCCCATTGAAGTTGTCCCTTGCTTCATAAGGAGAAGTATACTTTTTAAAGAAGCCCTCAAAGTATGGAATTTACTCAAGCATTCTCTAATTATAATAAGGATAAAACACAAATTTAAAGAAACTCATACTAAATTCCTTCTTTACAAATCTGTATTCTCCTACATATAACTATATTTCTCCCATATGAAAAGAACTCAAGTTTCCAGTGCCCAGAAAATTCTATTCATATCCATTCCACAAAACAAAGAAAAAAAATAAAGAACAGAGTATAACCAACCAAGCAACCTGTGAGATACATTACTTCTCTGATTCTGAAGACACTATTATAAGAAATGTTACAGGCTTTATGTTTGAGGGTGACTCCTTGGTGCCCATGGTGCTTAAGCTTCTCAAACCAATCATTGATCTCTGTGGGATATCAACAGCAATATATCAAAAAACCTCTCTCTCTTGGGATTTTAACAATTATTACCATTATGGGATTTAAACTGGGGAAAACTAAACAATGTGGTGCATATTATCATAAGCTAGCAAAATTTAGTTCAGATTTCATGATCAATTGCAGCACATTGCATCTGGCATCTAGGCATTGTTTCTGTGAGCATGCACTCACATTGTCACTATGTGCACTTGTATTATCATTGTGAAAATGTGAATAAAGATTTGTCTGTATTAAACTCAACAGTTCATATCTAAAAGACAAAGAGTCTGAAGCTACATTCAAGAACTACCAGATGCCAGGAATCAGAAAAAATACTTCCAATATTGAGAATAATAGATATTGTTCATTTACTGAACATTTCCTGGATGCCAAGTATTATTCCAGGTAGAACTAGTAATTCATTTCATCTTTATAAAATTAAGTGTGGTCATTGCTTTCATGCTGCCTTTACAAAAGAGGTGACTGAAGCACAATCAGGTGTAACTTGCCCAAAGTCACACATAGATCCTCTGGTAGAAAAAGAACATGTGCTGCTTTTGTATTTACAACACAGTACAACTGTGACAAGATCACATACAAGGACCTCTGGTAGGGCAGATTCTCTGTGCATTGCCAGACTTCACTAAATGTGGACCCCCTCAAGTTCTTTCCTAACTTTACCATTTTGACCTGAAATATTAGTGCTCAAACCCAATCTGTTTACTCCTAGATACACCAAACTTTTCAAGAATTTTGTGAAAGTAATTAGTTAGAGGTAATCAGTTTCCAAATTCTCAAGAATCTGTATACCATTTTCTAAAAATGATCTAGCTGAGAGCGACCTAACCTGAGAAAAAATTCAGGATCTTCTTTTACACCTAGCATTGCCACAACCCTTTTTTTTTCTTTTGCCATTCTTCAAATCAAGGGGTTTCTGTTATCCCTTTGCATTGAATTATCCTAATGATAAAAACAAAGGAAAATTTCTAAAGCCCAAAGCTTGTGGACTTGAAAAGTTGTCATCCATGAGACCTGATGGCTTCCTTTTGTCAGTATTCTATAAACACATATTTCTCTCTATGTAATAGAAACTTATGCTTATATTAATATAATAATAGTTTTTCACATGCATTCTATCCACTGACTAGTATTTTGATGTCAGTTATGAGGTAGGTTGATGAATAGAATGCCTTTTCATTTTGCTCATAGTGGACTCTCAAGAAATCAAGAGAGTCCCAAAAGAGCAAAGGTAAAAGATTCTCCATAGAAAACATCATTGTCAGAGATGCCCATGTCATCCAGCAGTAGCCTCACATGGAAACTGCTTTACATTTCTATTTATCTTAGACTTTAAAACGTTGACTGATTTTTTTAAGTTATTGGAATTTATTTCATACGTCCTATCCATGTACTCAGTACTATAAAAGGAAGATTTAACTTTGTTATGTCTCATTTTTGATTCACACATTACATAAGCACATAGTTATGACATGCAATGTGGTACTTATTTTATGTACATATTGTGTAATTATTTACACAGCTTAATTTTTACATCCATTCTCTAAACCTCTATCAGTTTAATAGTAGAAAGTGCTTTGAGATATATAATACTTCATGGTTAATTATATTCATCCTTTTCTGCTATAGAACACTAAAACTTACTCATCGTATCTGATGAAAGCATTTTTAACCACTGACTGACCTCTTTCCCTCCTCCATCCTTCTATTTTCCCAAATCTATTGTAATCTCCATTCTTCTCTCAATTTATATAGAGTCAGCTTTTTTAAATTGTACATAAGATTGAGATTATGAATTTGTCTTTCTGAGCCTAGTTTATCTCACTTCACATAATATTCTCCAGGACAAGCCACATTGTCACAAATGAAAGCTTTTGATTACATACATTTACCAGCATAAATAACCCCATATTAGTAAAATATTGTATTGGCAAGGTTAAGTTGGGAAGTTACCTTTTCTGAAATGTATTTGCATTGTGTTTAAAACAGTAGCTGTAAGTGGAGTAAAATCTATCTTTAATTAGTATTTGACAAGATTTATGAAGTATCTGTGATCATTTTCACAGAAAACCAGAAAGTGAGTGATTCTATTGGTTGTGTACCAAACCAATCAAAAAGCTGTTGTGAAAGACAATTTGAAGTCTTACCTTAAGTTTTCATGTACTTTTACTTTATTGGTACATATGGAAGGAGATAAGCATCTTTCTTTTTTTCTGCATATGGCTATCCAGTTCCCTGACACCACTTCATAAGAGGTGTTCCTTTGGTACTTCCTGTCTTTGTCAAAAATCAGTGGCTATAAATATATGCATTTATTTCTGTGTCTTTTATTGTGTTTGATTGGTTTGTGTGTCTATTTTTTTTCCAGTTGATGCTATTTGGGTTAGGATAGTTTTGGATACTAATTTTAGAAAAGTTTCTCTTTTCTATTTCTGAGAAAAACATCAGTACTTTGATAGGAACTGTATTTGATCTACAGAGTACTTTTGGTAGCATGGATATTTTAACAATATTAATAATTCCTATCTATGGAAATGTAATGTCTTGGTATTTTTGAGTGCA